CTGCAGAATAGTTACGCGTTAGCTTCGTTGCCCACGCTTTCAGTGGTTTTTCACCATCCAGCACTGAAGGATTTCTTCCTCTTGAAGGCCAAGGTCTTCCCAACCTTTGTCTCCAGCCCCACCATTGAAAGGCATTGATTTTGTTTCATTCAGCTTTTCTGACAGTCCAGCATTATGTTACCGTTGGGAAAAGTGTGTCCTTGAAAATACATCGCTCCATTGTCAGTGTTATGTCTTGCATTCCGAGATTATAGGGACCACCCAGCTATTTGCAAAGGACACCAAAGAAATAGTACATCTGAGAATCTACCAAGCTGCTCACTATTGAGATTATACAGTCAAAGGGGGGGGGGAAGCACTCCTGGTGTGACAGACCTCATTGTTGGTCCTTGTTTTTATCCAATCTTGGTATCGTTGATACTGTATATTACAAATGCAAGTGGCTGTCATGGAACATGGTTTTTTTTTCCCTTAAAAATAATGAGCACAAGATCGTTACTCAGCCCAAATGGGGCAGAGACAAACATCTCCCCAGGGCCACTCAAGACAAAATACAGGTAGTCCTCAACTTACCACCCCATTTGAGCCCCAAGTTTATGTTGCTAAGTGAGAAATTTGTTAAGGGAGTTTTGCCCCCTTTTATGACCTTTTCTTGCCATAGTCGTTAAGTGAATCACTGCAGCTGTTAAATTCCCAAATAAAAGCAGACAGAACAATGAATGAAAAAAATGATAAAACCAAAGACCCAAGCACCAATGATGGCCCCCAAAACAAATGGCAGTCAAACCAAACTCTATGGAAAGATGAAACAAAGATTCCCTCAGATTTCACTCTGTTCGGAGTGCCAAGTCAAAGCCAAAAGGAGTTGGACTGGCTACAGCAGGGGTCCTCAACCCCCAGTCCCTGGACCGGTACCGGGCCGCGGCATGCCAGCAACCAGTCCACACAAACAAGCAAAGCCCCATCATTGGGATGAAGGCAGCACACAAAACCACGCACTCTCCGGTCCATGGAAAAACCTCTCTCCACGGAACCGGTCCCTGGTGCCCAAAAGGTTGGGGGCCACTAAGCTAGAGGAAGGGTGTCCATTCGAAATTATCCTTCCAAAGATTGAGGAGAGAAGAGCTTTGCATATGCACAAATACGCACTCCAGAAATGTCAGCCTTACCACCAGTTGCAAGTCGTGAAGTCCTGAAAGAAACGTCCTTGTTTTTCAGGACAGTAAAAAGCATTGAGCAGACAAATCTTAACCCTCCCATGAAGTATAAAATGATAAAGAGTCCTTTGGACAGAGAAAATATAGCTCTGTTCTTTTCTGCTTGGCTTTGTTCCTTGTTCTCCTATATGTAGCTGGGAAGTCCCTGCTATTCTGCCTTTGCTGCACCCTTAAAATAGTCATCCTGCAGAACAGAGAGTACCTACCTAAGTCTCACTGGCATCAATAGAGGACCAGCCAGAGGACAGAATGAAACAACTGTGTTGTGATAAACTGGCAAGTTTTCACTATGTTTCGTAGGTGAAATCAGCCTCAGATAGTTGGTGCACCAGTCAAGTGTTCTTTTTTTGTGTGTGAAAACTCAAAGGATTTTTCTGGTGCTTGTTGACCCACCAAAGACCTAACTGCCATCAGCAGTAAGCTACCTTCTTCTATCAGGAAACTCTACAAGGTAAGTGCATTTAATTTCTATTTGCTTTCCAGTCTTCCTTGGGTGTAACTTGGGCTACAAAGAACCCCACATTTTTCTGGTTCATCCCAAGCCCTTACAGAAGAACCACTGTATTTTTAAAACACGGCCAGCACAAAAAAGGAATAATTAAAGATGTTCATTGCCAGCCACTAGCCACTTGTAATGGGCCCTCGGGTACTAAATAATTACCCACTTTGTGTGGTAAATTGGGATCAGGTGTTAACTGCTTGAGACGTATCCTCTAAAGAGCTGGTAAAGCCGAATAGAGATGTGTTTTTTAAACCAAACTTGGGAAAATAGGTCAAATATGTATCAGTGTTTCATCTCTCTAGAGCAGTGTTGGCAACTTGAAGATGTGTGGACTTCAACTCCCAGAATTCCCCAACCAGCATAGCACATCTTCATTCTGGGAGTTGAAGTCCACAAGTCTTACAGTTGCCAAGGTTTGATAACAGAAGTGGACAGCCATTGCCTTGTTCCCACATAATTTCAACCCTGGGTTTCCTGGTGGTCTCACCTGCAAAGACCAAACAGGTCCTGCTTAGCTTTTGAAGACCAACCAAAGTCAGTGAGATGCTGCCACCTAGCTGGTCCATCTGACCAAGTTCAAAGGAACCGGTGATGTCTAGATGGGGAAAGTCTTTCTGAATACACAGTTTGTGGTGGCTGATGCCAAAGAGTCTGAAGTAATTGACCTAGCATAACCTAATTGCGTTAAAACAGAGAGACAGAACCTACCAGCTGAGTAAATGTGCTTAGTTGAGGGCCATCACATCATGGCTAGGGAAGTTTTTATCTACCCACTGGAGACCAGGAGATTCCAAGCTATAGCTTGTAATGGGTTTGAATAATCATCAATTCTTGTGTCCAAGGGACACTCCCTAATGACTCAAAGTCCTCTGAACAGTCTTCCTGCCCTTCCCCGGTCCTCGGTCCTCATCATCCTGACATCACCCAGGGATGTTTAGATGGATGGATGGATGGATGTGTACAGGGGAAACTCACTACTATATCCTTCACCAAAGCCTACCTCTCTTTGTAAATGTTTGTCCAATTTTATCATTGTGCAGCTCAAGCAATGCCCAATGAACAAGGATTCTACAGAGGGCTGCCCCCCCTTCCAGGATTTCCTACAAACTCAGTTTGTAGGTCCATCATTGTTGGTTGTAGGTCCATCATTGATAAACTCTAGCAGTCATCAAAAACCATACTTTGGGAGATGATGGGTCCTTCCGGTGGGCTTTCTCAGCCCTATCCTTCAGGGGTATTCTAAGGTCTACCATAGTTTCTCTCCCCATCCTCTTGTTTCTATAGTAATAGCTCATTAGGTTTGCTATAATTCTTAACACCCCTGGAAAACAGCTCTGAAATAATGCATTTTATACCCCCAGCTCCACAAATGTTGGATACTCCTCTTCCAAGGTGAATGTTGTTGTCTAATAACTGTGCATGTACAACACACAAAACAACCACACATATACATGGGTTATACAAGTGTCATCTTCTCAGCCTGACCTCTTTATTGCTTGGTTTGGTGATCAGCGAAGAATAAATGGCGCTGGACAGATATCCACGTGGGTGTATGGGGAATCTGCTTGCAAAATTCACAATTTGATCTGCCTTTGAAGAGAGAAAGTGGTTTATTTATTTATACATGTATTTACTTTTTGATATATCACACCGACGATCTCTCTCAGAGAGGGACTCTGGACATTGTACAATAGAACATCAAAATATAAAACAGTCTGTGAAAATTGAACTGCTAAAGTTCCAATTTTAAGCTAAAAATTGGAAAAATGATAAAAAAAATAAGGAGGTAAGAATAATTAAAGCATGTTAAAAATTAGAATTCTTAGAATGTCTGAGAATAGGGGTCCCCAACCCCTGGGCTGTGTGGGCTGTGGGCTGTTCAGAACTGGGCCACGCAAGTGGCGGGCTGGTGCACATGTGCGTGCAGCTCAACCTGTGCAAGCAGTGGGCCGGTTCCCCTCCCCCCCAATTGAGCCACCAAGCCATAAAGGTTGGGGATCACCGTCTTAGAATTCCCCACCCTTCACCTTCCCATTTGACTGCCGGGTTCTTTAAAAATCCGAGACATATTGTGGATGGATGAATTTACTCAGTGTTGCAAATCTAGTGGGTACTGAGCACAAGCAAAGGGGATAGGGAGAAAGAGAGATGGCCAGGTTGTGTGTGTGTGTGTGTGTGTGTGTGTTTCTATATGTGTGTGTGCACGCTCATTGTTGTCGCTTCTAATAGTGCAATTCAGGAAGGTGGGGGAAAGAGAAGGGTGAGGTCGGTGGAGCCGAAAGGGAAGGGAAGCAAGAAAAATGTATTCAATAAAAATTGGTTGCTTTCCAACTTTCATCTGGCAATGCTCCACATTCATTGACTGAATTCCCTCCCTTTTTTTATGATTTGCTTTTTTGGGAAGGGAAGCATAACTTGGAATATTCAATATGTGTCAGCGCAGAGAGGGTGCAGGTCCAGGATGATATTATTATTACTATTACTACTACTACTATTGTTCTATTATTAATAATAATATTACTATTACTACTACTACTACTACTACTACTACTACTACTACTACTAGGGGTGGTCACACAGTCAGCCAGATGTTCAGGCTGGATTTGGCGTTTTTATCCACCTATGGAGTCCTTCCCAAGAACCCGGGCTAGGCAGATGTTCCATAATACATTGAAACAATAGGGTTTGTTGCCCAGTCAGCCAGATGTTGAGATTGCCTTTGGCATCTTTATCCACCTACCCAGTCCTTCCTCACCACCAGGACCAGGCAGACGTTGTGTAAGATATGTCAGCCAGATGTTTAGAAAGGATTTGGCATTTCTGCCCACCTCTGGAGTCCTTCCCATAGATTTGGGGGCAGGCAGAGATGGTTTGGTGGTGTTCAAGGTACCATCGCAGGATGCGAGCCGTTCCAAGTCAATAATAATAATAATAATAATAATAATAATAATAATAATAATAATAATAATAATAATAATAATAATAATAATAATAATAATAATAATAATAGCAGCAGCAGCGAGCTGGGCACTCGTCCTCCTTGTTGGCAGGGCGTCACTCCCCGTCGGACCCTCACCAGAAGCGCGGTCTGGCTTCTTCGCCGCCGGCTCCACGGAGCCGATCCTCCCGCCCCTTAGAAATCCGAGTAAAAGCTCTTCCAAGGATCTCCGCCGCGGTTCCGCAACCGGCAGGAAGATGTAGCTGCAACCTGCTCCGCCGAGCAGCCGAGAGGGAAGGGAAGGGAAGGGAAGGCGCAGCCCAGAGCCTCGCCAGAGGAAGTCGGGCGGGCGGACGCGGCGGCGGGCGAGAGGTGCCGTGCCATCCCCGGCAGGAGAGGTGAGAACACGGGGCGAGCTGGGTGGGGTGGGCGTACGTGTGAAGCCGTCGCGGGGAGCCAAGAAGGCTGCGCGGGAGGGCTGAACGCGCGTTTCGGGGACGGGTTTTGCAGGAGGGGCGCGCCCGGGAAGGAGCGCGCAAGAGCGGCTCCAGGGGGTGAAAGGGTGTGGGCACCAAAAGTGGTCGTCGGGACGCAGACACGGGAGGCTGTCGCGCGCTCCCGCCTGCCTGTTTATGTGCCTGTGGGGGGGGGGAGTGTGGTGGAAGTGGAGAGAGAGAGAGAGAGAGAAGGAGGAGGAAATGGACGGGAGAGAAAGAAAGGGGGCGGTGTAGTCTGCGGCATTTCCAACTGGCCGCGGCGGTGGGTTGCCTTTCCAGTCCACGCGCGCGCGCGCGCGCCAACACACCCGATTCCTTAGAGGTCTATTATATCCGATACACGCGCCTCCGTGTACGTGGGCACCCATACCCGCACACAGGCAGCCCCGCTTCCACCTCCTCCAGGCCAGGCCCAGGCTAAGCCCCTACTTTGAAGCCCGCCGCCCTCCCCTCCTCTCCTCTCCTGCTCAGAAAAAGCGAAAGCGCGGGGAGGTGTGGAAGGAAGGGCGAGGGGCTGGGGTCGGGTCGGGGGGGGGGACTTTGAATGAGCTGGAGAAGAGACCCCGGGCTGAGAGGAGAGCCGAGTCTTGTAAATTAACGGCGCCGGTGGGTGGCTGATCCAGGAAGCAGGCGGCTGCGGGGAGGGCGCTGGGGGGGGGCGGAGAAGGAAACCGGCGAAGAAAAGAATGGGAAAGCGAAGCGGGGAGAAATAAGCCTGGCGGGGGGAAGAGGAGGGAGGGAGACGGAGGAGGGGGGCGTCTCCGGGGGGCGACCTGCGAAAGGTGAGCGAAAGGAGGCATTTTCCCCACCCAGCCGCCCGCTTCTTCTTCTTCTTCTCCTCCTCCTCCTCCTTTTTTTCCCCTTCCTGCTTTCCTTCCAGTCATTCTTCTCCCACCCCCACCCCCGCGCGCGCCTTTGAAGTGGTTTTAGAACGTTCGGGAGTTTATGTTTATTTAGAACGTTGACAGGGAAAGTGAGAGTGCCGGGGGCGGGGGGAGGGCGGGCGAGGCGACTGTAAAGTTTTTGCCCGCCGAGGAAGCCCCTCGCGTCTGCTACTAAACGAAACCGGGTGGAGGGGGTGGGGTGGGGGCGAAAGGAGAGGTAGGCAGAGATTTCTGGGGTGGGGAAGCCTCCGCAACTCTCTCCCCCCCCCTCCCCCTCCAAGCTTCCAAGTTTATCGCCTTATGAATTTTCACCTCCCTCCTTTGCGTATAATAACGGGATGACTCCCAGGTGCCCGGCAGATATTTTTTTTAAAAAAAAATTGTGGGGGGGGGGGAGAGAGGAAGAAGAAGGGAAGAAGAGTGTGAATAGAAGGAAACCTTATTCCATTTGGATCCTGGCTGTCGCGGAAGGGGGGGGGGTCCGCAGGGAGAGGACAGTGCCATCCCCGAGAGGTGGTGGCGACGTTTGAGATCAAAGTGATTTGCGGGTCGGTTGGCGGCGCGAGAAATCTTTACTTGCCCCCCCCCGCGGGGTGTGTGTGTTTGTGTGTTGCAGAATTGTCCAAAAGCGACAAGCGAGGTGCGAGGAAAAGCGAGACATAAAAACGCCCGCCTTTAGGAAGTATCGCAGTCTATATTTATATCAGTTAGATGTACGGGGATTTGAAGAAGGGTTTTTTTGGGGGGGGGCTAAAGAACGAAAGATAGTCGTCTCCCTTCCGTCCCTCCCCCCCTCCCCCCTCCCCCCCTCCCCTCCGCAGCAGCCTGTTGCCAGCTCGCTCTTGCAGACTTGCAAGGTGGCCGTTCGTTTCAGCCTTTCTCCTCCTCTAGTCTCCCCCACCCCTCTCGAAATGGACGCCAGCTATGGGATGTTGGGGGGGGGAGAGAGAGATCTGGAGGGGGCTGCACCAGCTCTCCCCCACCCTTCGCCCCTGCAGTTCCTCTCCCCCATCCTCAGATTACCGGAGTGGCTGGCTGAGCAAGAGTTGGCCTTGATTTTCAACTACGGAGGGCGGGCCGAGGATGGGAAAGGAAAGGAAGTGAAAAAAAGGGGGGGATTTATGTGTGTGTGTGTGTGTGTGTGTTTGAGCGCGCGCGTGGATAGTGTTAAAGGTTCTTTTTTGTTATTTTCTTAAATAGCCGCGGCGGCCCTTTGGAGCTCCAGTGGCCGGGCAGGCGAGTGTAGTTCTTAAGCCTTTTCTGCCCTCAAAAAGATAGCGAGGATAGGCAGAGGGTCTTTTAAAACCCGGGGGTCGGGTCACGTCTGAAGCTAGGAAAAGCCAGTTCCTCTTCTTTCCTTCCTACCAACGCGCAGTCCGCCCTTCGGTCCTTCGCTTTCCAAAATTTGCCCTGCTTTTGGGGAAGACTGGACTTTTCGCCACTTCTGGAGGGTGAGTTTCCAACTGCTTTTTTCAAACCCCTTCTGACCATTTCGAGATGCCTTTAATTTCCCTCCCCATCAGATACAACTTTCCAAAATGGGAATGAGCGGTGGGTACTATAGGTCTACCCACTTTACTAGATGTGGCTGCGTTCTGTTTAGTAGCTAAAGAGTTAGGCTGTAGAACAGGTCAGCGTTGGTTCCAGCCAACAGTTGCAAAAGCTTCCGCTGAATTAAATATTGTATGTCAATTGTGTGTAGAGACATTTATGGCATCAAAAGATCTTTCGTTATTAGCAACAGAAATCTTATTTTCTCTCTGTTCCCAACCCCCCCTGCACCGAAGCTTTTGTGTTGCCCTTTAGGTATTTTGCGTTGCCGTTTTTTCTAATTTTTATGCCAATTTTTTTTCCTATATATATTTTATTTTTCTTCTTTTGGGTGGATGGGTGGATGGATGGACAGACTGCGTGGAGACAGAAGTATTAGGCATAATAATAACAACAATGGCAATAACTCTTCATCATCATCATTATTATTATTATAAATCGTAGTGACATGTGAGAGATTAATGGACTGCGCCCCTCTCTGTCCCTGAGACCCTAACTTGTGACGTTTTGGTTTCAAGTCCACGGGTTAGGCTCTTGGGAGCTGTGAGTTGTGCCCCTACATCCTTCTCCAGTGTGTATGGATTTGGGGAGGAGGGGGCTGTAGGTATATGGGAAAAGTTGTTTAATGGGAGGAAGCCGTTCTTTGCCTTTGTGTTCTTCTACTCCACCCCCAAAGATCTACAAGTATGTTTTTAAATGTTGGTCACAAAGGCTCAGCTCAAAAAAATAAAAATGAAATCCCAATATTTAAGAGTAATTTGGTATCTGAGTTCCATGAGTTTATTTGTTCTGCTCCTTTCAAGGTGTGAGTCGATGCATCCTTTTTGTCAGGGGTGCTCGAGGGCTCATGCGTATAAGTTTCTAAGAGGTCTGTCTGGGCGTCCATTTGAAGGTGCAGGGAGAAACCTCTGCAAAAAACAGAAATCAAGAAGCCTGGCTTTTTTCTGAATTGCAGCAAAAGTCCCCCCCCCTCCCAGTTCTGGTTTTGATTGATGCTTTTAGGCAGAGCCCTGGATGGCAGGATTCAGGCATATTTTTATTCCCTCTCAGGCTGTCTAGTTGGGTCCTTTTAATATTCTAGACTGTTTTCCCTCTACCTCTTCACCCCCAACATTTAAGGAGCTCTCCTGTCTTCCTGCCAATTAATATTGATAATAAATGGACCTCAACGCATGGCGATATATAGAGTTTGTGCCTATAGGCCTGCCGATAAAAGTAAGTCCTTATTTCTCCTGTCTACACCCTCCCCTTAACACACGCACACACACACACACACACACACACACCGACACATTCTTGAGAGCAACACACAGTACTTCCAGAGCGTAATAGAAACAGCTCGGTACCTTGGTGCTTGACCTCAATCTATCTTTCAGCTTCAAATCCCAGCATGCTTCCTGCTTCCAGGTTTAAAAACGGAACTATTATTTCATAGGCAGATGTACAGTGCGTGGAGAAGATGGTTGGTAGCTGGGCAGTTATATGTGCAACTGTTTTTCCCCCACACCCCTTTTCTGGTTCTTGCTGCGGCCTGCTTTAATTTTTCATTTTTTTTTCAGCATTCCATTCAAGATAAACGGCTTATAAAAACAAGAGCTGAGGTTTTCCTTCCCTGGGTCTAGTTCTCTTTAGTCTGGCATTTTTTTATTTTTATTTTTTTGCAAAGGGTACACGAAACCTGTTGGAAATAACCCATCGGTTAGGGGGAAAAAAAAGAGGGGTGAAGTTGCTGTGCTGGGAGGTGTGGTGTGCTTCCAAAGAGACAGGTTTGCTGGGGGGGGGGGCGTTCCTTGACCCTGCCTTTTGCTGCATCATTGATAAGGAGGAGGTTAGATCTGCCTTGCCCCCCAAAAAAGGCTGCACTTGTTGTGAGTTTTGTTGCGTTGGTCCAGAATGCCATCAATATGAAATCAGAAATTAAGGGGAGAGGCCTCTGGTTTCATAAAAAGATGAATTCTGGGGATGTGCCCTGCTGAACTTAATAGGGCAGCAGTGTCTCCGAGGTGTGTGCTTGTGGTTGTTTGTGTGGTGACTTACAAATTAGTCCCACAGAATCCAGGTTCGTGTTTGGGTAAAGGCACACATAGATTCTTGATATGCATCAGGCTTGGGGGAGCCCCAGGAGTGGAGAAGCTGCTTGCAAAATGGGAAAGCCCTTATTCATTTCACTGCCTTCTCAAAATTAAAAGGCAAAAGGATCCATGAAACAGAAAACGGTAAAATATTCGTATTGCCAGTGAGGTAGATAGGCATCTTTCGATTTACATTACAATAACTGGCATGATTCCCCCCCCCAAAAAAAAAATCCAATACCAATCTGAAGTGAAATCTCCCAAAACCTGACTCCTTTTCTTTAAAAAGAAAAGAAATTATACTCTTAAAAATAATCAGGGAAAAGTTTTTGTGGTTTCCGAATCTTCCTATAGATTTAGATTCCTTTGAAATGAGGGGGTGAGACTGGCTTTG